ACCCCCACCCCCACCCCCGGAAACAGTCCCCCCCCAGCGCCGCCGTCGCCGCCGAGAGGAGGCCGGCGCAGCGTAGCCGACATACGACTCCGAGCTCCGGCTTGGAGCGAGCGGTCCCGACGGCCTTCACCGGGCCCGATCCCGAAGGGGACTGCGCCGCGCAGGGCCACCGGGTTGGTGGACACCGAACGGGGCGCTGGCCGAACTTTAGCCCCCTGGAGGAACACACAATCGCCCACTCTCTGGGAAGGTTTCCCCCCCTCCCCTCCGTCTTCCCCCCCTTCACACCCTTCACTCTGCGGTGCACACACCACCCAGGGCATACACACCCTCTCTTGAGGGAAGGCACACAACATGGCAGGTTCAAAAGCAGGCCCAGGGGGACCCACAGACCTGGGGTGAGGACACTGAGGGGCAGCTCCTGGACACACACGGGAGCGCGCGCGTGCACGCGCTCACATACACATACAACCTCCCCAGGAATGTGCAAGGACTCCTGCCAGGTCTAGGGCTTTGAAGGGCCAAGCACATCAGTGACCACCAGGGCTGATAAGCACCAACTTATTTGTCCCCACTTATCCATTTCACCTTCTGTGCATAAATGCAGAGGTCTTGGGGCCTCCTGGAACACTCCACCAAGCACCAGGTGAAAGTACATACACTGAGGAAACACATTCCTGAGGCTCCAGAGGGATGATCCCAGAGACTTCTACCAGTTGTTGAAAAATTCAAAGCTTAGGGGGCAGCAGAGACAGTTCTTGGCGCTCATCTTCTTAAAACCTTTCTGAAACAAGGTGAGCAATTCATACAAAATACAAAAAGTCTCTTCACCGAACTCGTCACAAAGGAAAAACCAGAATTAGACAAACTTTAGGTAGTGGAGATGCAGGTGCAAAGTTGGAAACAATGGGTAAAATAGTCCCACCTGGTCCCAGGAAGTGCCCCCCACCCCCACTTCAGGGAGATTCCAGGAAAGAATCCCACTCCAACCAGGTCATAATGGCTGGAGCTCTGAAGGGCTCAGGTCCCCTGAGCCAGGAGAAGAGGAGGAAGTCCAAGGAAAGATGGTGAGTGTGGAGGCCAGGTGTGGTTAGCTTGACCCTCTCTCCCTATAGCTCCTGGAAGCTCCCCTCCCCCCTTTTCTCTAAAACATCCCAGCTGTTCTAGAGACACCCACAAATGAAATCTATAATGGTGTACCTACATGTCCCTGGAACCTGTGACATCACACAGACACATAGCATCTGAGGCCACCTCTCTTTTCTCAAACCAACAGTGCAACCCTGGGTCCTCTTTTTCTCCTCCAAGGACCAACTAACCCAGAGAAACCCCATGTTCCAAGACTTCACTCCTTGCTTCCTGCTTTAGAAGTCTCATGGCCTACACTGTACCTCATTCATCTTTCAGGCCCTTTCTAGCTTCTAAGAGTTCCTCATCAAGAAAGTCTGCCCCCTGCTGTCCCACAGGGTTGCAGACCCCAGCCTGGCATTTGCCCTGTCCCTGGTCTCCCAGGCTGTGGATGCCCTCATGCCTGAGCTCCTTTCTCCCTAACAGGCTGGCAGTCACCCCTACTTCAACCTGCCTGACTTCACCCAGCCATCACCGCCTTCCACTCCACCCAACCTCCCCCCAAGCCAACGCTGCCGCCCCTCTGATGCCACCAAGGGCCTGCTCGTGGCCCTGCTAGGTGGGGGTCTGCCTGCTGGCTTCGTGGGACCCTTCTCCCGTATGGCTTACCAGGCTTCCCATTTGCCCTCACTGGAGCTACTCATCTGTAGGTGCCTCTTCCACCTCCCCATTGCTCTGCTACTTAAACTGCGTGGTGACCCACTGTTGGGACCTTCTGATGTCCGGGGCCGGGCCTGCCTCCACGCCATACTCAACGTTCTCAGCATTGGATGTGCCTACAGTGCAGTGCAGGTGGTGCCAGCTGGCAATGCTGCCACTGTTCGCAAAGGTTCTTCCACTGTCTGCTCTGCTCTCCTTGCCCTCTGCCTGGAGAGCCAGGGTCTCAGTGGCTATGACTGGTGTGGATTGTTGGGCAGCACCCTGGGACTAATCATCATTGTGGGACCTGGCCTAGGAACACTGCAGGAGGGGACCACAGGCCTTTACACTGCCATGGGTTATGTGCTGGCTTTCCTGGGGGGCCTGGCACTATCACTGGGGCTTCTAGTATATCGCTCACTGCACTTCCCCTCCTGTCTACCGACAGTGGCCTTCTTGTTTGGCCTGGTTGGACTGGTGGGCTCTGTGCCAGGCCTCTTTGTGTTGCAGACCCCCGTCCTGCCCAATGACCCCTTGAGTTGGAGCTGTGTGGGGGCAGTGGGGATCCTTGCCCTCGTCTCTTTTGTGTGTGTGAGCTATGCAGTCACTAAGGCCCACCCTGCGCTGGTGTGTGCTGTCCTGCACTCTGAAGTGGTGGTGGCCCTGATGCTGCAATATTATGTACTCTATGAGACAGTGGCACCTTCTGACATCATGGGGGCAGGAGTTGTGTTGGGCAGCATCGCCATCATCACTGCCCAGAACCTCAGCTGTGAGAAGGAGGAGAAGAAAGAGGAGGAATAAGATCGAATTTGAGTGCCTGGGGGTGGGGTGGGGGGCAGGGGAAATAGAAGGAGAGACTGAAGAGAGTACCTGGGAGAACAAGTGACTGAAAAAGAACTGGCGTGGGAGAGGGACATAACCTCCGAGTAGAGAGGGGACTATTTGGGAGATCTGGAGCAAGCTTGGAAAACAAGGGATGTGGACTCTAGGCTGAGTCTTGGGAACTAAAGGACATACATAATAAGGGGCAAGATCTGAGGAGCAGATGAAGGGCCTGAGGCTTTTGTAGGATGAGGCGGTGGAGGATACCACAGGGCAGTGGGGGAGGATTTCCCTGAGCAGCTGGTTAGAGTTTTGGGGCTGAAGTGTTAGGGGAATTTAGACCATCAGAGCAAGCAACTACATTGAGGGAGGAGGAGACTGTCTCTTTCCCCTTCTTCGTGGTTGTGACCTCCTCTCACCCCCTTGAGATGGTGATGTGACACTGACATCAAACATGGATCACTCTGAATGTCGCTGTGGATTTGGTGTCATCGCTGTGTTTGAGGGAGAGCCCTACCTACACCGCTCTCATTGAAGAATCCCTGGGGATCCACCCCACAATCATTTCTGAAAATATTCTAGAAGGGGAAGCAGTTCCTAATATTCAGATTTCTTGACCCTGAATCCCCCAGGGCTTCCCTCCCCATGATCTGCTTTTCCCGGATTGTCACGGTCCCTTGGTCTCTCCCGGACAGGGACCGGCCTCCTCCTGGGGCAGGCCCCGAGCTGAGGTTTCTTCGATCGGCTCAGACCACGCATTCAGGTCCAAGACTCCGTACAGCGTTCCACTATAGGCCGGGAGATTTCCACTTATTCCCGGAGGTCGCTAGACAAACATCGGCTACTTCCGGACCTGCAATTGGCTTCGCCATCTTGATCTAATCATGAATATTTACCGAGATCACTGCATATTCATGATGGGGATGGTCCCAGCACTGCCCCCGAGAACCCATAAGGGAGGACCCGACCGGCCCCGCCTCCTTCATTACGGATTCACAGAAGAAACCATTTTCAGGCTGGGGGCGGATATTTAATGAGAATTTTGCTGAAATGAAATAATACTCCAAACGAATAAAAGCGACCTAAATTTATTCTCGTTCATTAAATTCTTTAATCTCAGTGTGGGAGGGCTAATCGAGGGGAGTTGGTGAGATAAGAAATTCCCCTCACCCCTGTCATTTCAAAAGGTCGCTCTACCGGGGAGCCGGGAAGGGACGCTCTACGACACAAGAGTGAGTCCCGTGCAGGCCGGCGTAGGTAGCCCCGTAGCGCAAGGGAGGGCGGGAAAGGAAGGGGCGGGGATGCAAGGGCGAATCTATAAAGGGCGTCATTCGGCCAATTCGCTTCTCAGAAGCGCGGAGAGCGCGGCCGGGACGGTTGGAGAAGAAGGCGGCTCCCGAAGGGGGCGCGACAAACTGCCGTAACTTCTGCCGTTCAGGAGCCCGGTTACTTATTTATTTGTTACCTTTTTTCTTTTTCCTTCCCCCGAGAACCTTCTCCTCCCCCTCCTCTTTTTTTTTTTTCTTTTGTGGGAGACGAAAAATCTCCGGAAAGGCGGAGAAGAGCTCCTTTCGCTCCTTTTCATTTCCCCGCCTTCGTCCCTCCCCCACTCTTCCCTCTTCCAGCGGCTTTTTCCTCCCAATTCGGGAGGTCCTTCTCGGTGGCCGCCCCAACGGGGTCTGAGCACCTAGGCGGAGGCGGCGCAGGCTTTTTGTAGGGAGGTTTGCGCCTGCGCAGCGCGCCTGCCTTCCTTCGCGATGCACGGGGGAGGCGCCCCCTCTGGGGACAGCGCATGCCCGCTGCGCACCATCAAGAGAGTGCAGTTCGGAGTCCTCAGTCCGGATGAACTGGTAAGCAGCTCTGCCCTCCCACTCCTCCGCCCTCTCGCTCTCGCGGGCGGGGCTGGGTGGTAGCTGCGGAAACTTGGGGCTTTTTGCTGCCTTGTGGTAGCAACACCAAAGACATGCTTAGCGCTGTGTCCCAGATGGGGACTTGGCCCCAGAGCGTCTTCGAGGAAACTTGTACTAGGGGCTGGAGGGAGTGAATGAGGAATCTTAGGGAGGCTGTGTAAGTTTGGATAGGAAGACTAGCTTTAGGTTTTTCTTTTTTTCCTCTCTATACATGGTATTTGAGCACCCCAGATTTTTTTCTGTCTCCTTTCTACAAATATTAATTGAGCTCTCTTAACAACCCACAGTGAGGATACAGGGCTGGCAAGGACCCTCCCTTCTCTAGGAAGGGGTCGAGGAAACACAATAAACGTGAATAAATAAATGAGCTGATGACTTGGAATCCGTTTTTGTGAAGCTAAATGAAGTTCATCGCCAATTTTGCTGAGCAAGAAAGCTCAGCTGTGAGATTTGTGTCAGGAGTTAGAACATCCTGATCTCACACTGTGCCACAGGAGTTAAGGTTTAGATCTAAAAAACAAACCCATAAAGGCGCTAGAAAAATGTAGAGAGTTTTGGGGCAGAAATCTTAAGTAATGAATTACAAGTAAATTGTATTGAGTGCCTGTTATATACAACACATAAGCATTTTACATTCAAAGAAGAACAAAGCAGATTTCACTACATAAAAATAAGAGCCACTTTTGTTTATCAAAGATGCCATGGCTAAAGCTAAAAAAGATTGCAAGACAATATTTGCAATGCTACATTCAGAGTTACATTTTTTCATCTATAAGGATCACTTATAAACCAGTAAGAAAAGCACATATTTACTAGAGAAGTGAAAAAAATAACAATAGGCAGTTCACAAAAGTAATAAAAATGGCCAATAAAAATGATCAACTTGCCAATCTATGAAATTTAAATTAAGATGTAATTTTTCCCCCTTGTCTGATTTTTCTCCCTTGGAAAAAATATTGGGATATAAGCATGTTTATACATTGTTGGTAGGATAAATGGATATGCCTATTCCTCATTTATTGAATTTCATCTGAGATTTCACATTTTTGAAATAGTTAAGATATCTACTTTACTAGTTAACAAATGTCAGGCAGTAACTAACACTAAGGTGCAGTACCTTTGGCTGTAAGTTATGTGTCAATATGTCTGGACTATGAGTCTCACTATTTTGTGATACGATGTGGTCATTCTCCATTTTTGCATCATGCCAGTTTTCACACAGCCTAGGATTTGGAACCTAACCATGTCTTGATAAGTGATGAGTGATAAGTGATAAGTGGAGGACAGTCTGGCAGTTTTAACGGTCCTTACTGTTGCATTTATTTTGAACCCAACATATCGTGTTCAACGATTTATTAAAAACTCTTCGTTTATTCTCTCAGTCATGGTCCTTCTCCACTCTTGCCTTGTTCAGTAAATGACTCCATTCATCTGGTTGCTTAGGCCCAGAAATTTAATTCTTTAAATTAAACCTTTATTTAATTCGTTTTCTCACAATTGCCAAGGAGTCCATCTGCAAGTCTATCAGTTCTGCCTTTCAATGTATATATGAAATCTAGCCATTTTTGACCATCCTCATTTCAACCACCCTGGACTACTGTACTAACTATAGATCCTATAGTTTGGAGAAAACTAGAAGGATCTTTTCATCATATCCCTTCCATGCAGAAGGGAGTCTTCTCCAAAGGCTCCCCAATCCCTTATATATAGAACAATCCTTACTATGATCCACAAGGCCCTGCATGATCAGGTCTTTGCTTGCCATTCTTCTCTTTGCTTTTCTTTAATCATACTGACCTGCTAGTTCCTCCAATACTACAAGCTTATTTATGCCTCAAGGACTTTATTACTCACCTTCCTACTACTTGGAACAACATTGCCCAGACCTCCAAATCCCTGTTTAAGTATCGTGTCCTCTGTTTAAGTATCGTATCCTTAGGAACATTTTCCTGAACATCTAATTTAATATAGCACTCTACTTTGAGTCTCTTGATGGTGCAAAAAGTTAAAGTAATCAGCTGCTAAGAGAAAGGGTGATGGTTTTAGTTCACTCAGAGGTGCCTCAAAAGAAAGGCCTGGAGATCTACTTTTGATAAATCAGCTATTAAAAACCATATGGAGCACAATGCTAGTCTGAGATTGCCAAGAGTCCCCATATTTTTGTCTTATTTTTCTTTATAAACTACCATTACCCGAAATAAGTTTTATCTGCTTCTTGTTCCCTCAAGTGTAAATTTCATGAAGGATCTTGTCTGTATTATTACTCTGTTCTCTTGGTGGCACTTTCAGTGATGCCTGGCATAGACGAAAAATGAATTGAAGAAATGAGTGAATGAGATAATTGGACCACACAAAAATATATAAAGATTTTTTTATTGCAGTGTTGTTCAGTGCTGTCAAGTTGGTTTAGATTCATAGTGATCCTATATAGGATTTCTGAGGAGCGACTAGTAGGCTTGAACTGCCAACCTTGCATGTAGTAGTCCAGTGATTACCCTACTACACCACACCAGGATTTCTTTATTGGGATAGTGCTTAGTGCTTGAAAATGATAACTATAAACAACATGAATATTTATAAATAGGGCCCCTTTGAATAACTTGGCCTGTTCTTGAAATAAGGAGCCCCAATGGAGCTGTAATTTAAGCCCTGGGCTGCTAACCCCAAGGTCAGCACAGGTCAAACCCACCAGCCATTCCTTGAGATAAAGATACTTTCTGCTCCCATAAAGATTTGCAACCTCAGAAACCCTATAGAGGTCACTGTGAGTTAAAGCCAACTGGATAACACATAGCAACAGCATTCTTACAATAGAGCAAGATCTTCCACTGTTTCCAAACTGCTGAGCCATCACAGGCAGCGCAACTGATTTACAGTGGTACAGTGACATATTTTAATTGTTGAAAGAATAATTACATTTGTCAAAGTTCTGGGAACTAGGAGGTGAAGGAGTGCAGTTTCAGCATTGTTGTTAAGTGCTATAGAGTCGATTCTGACCCATAGTGACCCTGTATAGGGTTTTTGAGGAGCAGCTGGTGAGTTTGAACTGTCGATCCTGCAATTCAAATGGCTTTGCAGTCTGGCGCATTAACCCACAGTGCCACACTAGGACTCTGTTGTTGTTAGGTGCCATCGAGTCAGTACCTACTCATAGCGACCTTATGCACAGCAAAACGAAACACTTCCCGGTCCTGGGCCAACCTCACTATTGTTGCCACACTTAAGTCAATCTATGCTGCCACTTAGCCAGTCCATCTCGTTGGGGGTCTTCCTCTTTTTCTCTGACCCCCCACCTTACCAAACATGATATCCTTCTCCAGCGACTGGTCCCTCCTGACAATATGTCCAAAGTATGAGAGACGAAGTTTGGCCATCTTGGCCTCAAAGGAGCACTCTGGCTGCACTTTTTCCAAAACAGATCTGTTGGTTCTTTTGGCAGCCCATGGCACTTTCAGTATTCTCCTCCATTAGATGGTGCTAAAGCATTTTTGATTGACGTCATGTTTTAGTGTAACTTCTTGTTGTTGTTAACATCAAGTGCTCTTTACTATATGATTATTGTTAAGTACTGTTGAGTCAGTTCCGACTCATAGCCACCTTGTACAGGGTTTCTGAGGAGCAGCTGGTGAGTTTGAACCACTGACCTTGTGGTTAGCAATGCAACACTTACCCTACAGCACCATACCAGGAGCTCTATTCGTGAAGCTAATAGTTGCTAAGTACCTGGCAAAAATCAGTGTGAAACAGGAAATAAGGAGGATGCTATCCAGTTTAGTTCCAAGATAAAAGATTTGAGAAGGTTTGCAATGCCTAACAAGTGATATTAATAAGTAATTTGAGAAAGAAAAATATTTTTTTCTTTTAGTTTATGTGTATTATGTTTCAAACGCTACTAAGTTGTTAGGATATAATTAATTGCATATTAAGTTGATTGGAGCTGTCTACGTGTTAAGTAGATGTTTTAGGTATTTTTTTGGCATAGCAGGTACTTTGAAAGTTACAGAGACACTAAAGGCATTGGAGGTAGCCCCAGTGGTTCAGTGGTTAATTAAGCATGCAGCTGCTGACCCAAAGGTTAGAGGTTCAAACTTACCAGCAACTGTATGAGGAAAATATGTGACCATCTCCTTCCAAAAAGATTCTCACTGCCATGAAGTTGATTCCAACTCTTAGTGACCGTGTATAGGGTTTCTGAGGCTATAATGTTTACAGGAGTAGAAAATCTCATCTTTCTCTTATGGAGTGGCTGGGGTGGGTTTGAACTGGTGACCTTGCAGTACACGGTCCTATACTTATCTTATACCCTGGAACTCTATGGGACAGTTTACTTTGTACTGTATGAGTTTAAATCCCCTTAGTGGCAGTAGGTGAAGGATACTGTGTGACCTGGTTAACTTTGGTAGTCTCTGAATTAAATGAAGAAATTACTAAAACATGCAGAATGAAACCTGATTTATGTAAAATTACAACATATTTGCATTTCGAAAACATATGGAAGAGTGTTCCCAAAACTTTAAGGGTCATCTGCGTTCCACTTTGAATTAGGGGATAGATGGATAGGGGCCTTTTTATGCACAGGTGGTATTTAAGTTTGGAATGTTCTCCAAATGCATTGGAGAAGGGTACACTGTAGGTACAGAGGACTCTTAGAATTCGGTGCCAGATAAGAGTTCCTGTGTTTGTTGTTATAAGATAGGTTTAGATGTTGCTGGCTTGTACAGAGTCAGGGAGAGTGAGGTACTTGATGACTTTTTAAAGGAGTTGATTCTAATTCATTAAAAACATTTATTGACTGTGTCTACAAGGAGCTCTGTAGCATAGTGATTACGGATCGGTCAGCAGTTCAAAACTACCAGCCGTTCCGCGGGAGAAAGATGAGGCATTCTGCTGCTGTAAAGATGTACAGCCTCAGAAACCCTGTAGAGGGTCGCTAAGAGTCA